GGACATCTTCGTCATCCATAATTTTAAAGTACTGACCAGAAGAAAGACAGCCAGTCAGTATCACCCACCATACGCGCTAAGGGATTGACAGTCACTTTCATAACGTACCCACATGCGAGAAAAAGGTTTCGGGGGTAACACGAGGATACAAACTATGTTCACCAGTTCTACCATAGGGTCAAACTGCGGCCCCTGAAAATGAACTAATCTTTTACCTGTACTAATGCAAACCCGTTTTTTTTGTTTTTTTTTGTCTTAGGAAAATGTGAACGCTGTATAGGATTTGTACGTACATAATATAAATGCATTTTACAAGGCTCTGAAAAGTATCTTTCTCTAGCTTCTAAGCGAAACACCATTACAGTATTCATTTCCAAGGTGACCTGATTAACCAACACATCTCTGAACAGTTCGACTCACCACATTAACTCTTATGTTGATAACATATTTCATAAGCCTATTTTAGGTGTTTTCTGAAAATTCATTTAACGTTTTCAACCTTTAAATGTTCAGCTACAATCATGCCGTAAGTACTAATGACAATTACGTCAGTTGCCGCAGACTGTTAGAGATAAAATCTCGACAACAAGCCGCTGAGATGTTTTACTTTTCTTTCCATTTGCAAGCCTTAAGACCTCCGTTTATTTTTAACTAAAACCTTCTGGCACAATGTGCGCGGTTATCTACCTCGCATACGCGGCGACAGAAATAATTACGTACACATTTTCCAGCTTTGTAGTTAGTTAAGTTTTTCCTTTAAGGCTGGTATTATTTTAAAAAGAGTGATTTCGGAAAACTCAGATATCTGTTCCTAGTTTTCAGTTTCAAAACTGCTAACCTGTTTCCTTACAATATTTCTTCGTATAATGTACTCAATTCCTAGGTTGTTTAACCTCTAAGTTATATGCAGCTTATCAGCAATTTCCATGCTATTGGTGCTTGTGTTGTTGGGAAAAGTGCATTGGCATTAGCAAAAACCGAGCTAAGTTATTTAGAACTACAGAGGGTTGAGTATGTTATATTAAAACAATTTGAATATGCAAATCAACAAGTTATATGACAACCACAACTGATATAAATGTGTTCAGATCTGAGATTTAGAATTTCAAAGACGGGGATATCCCTTGTTCTTAATGACATTGGGAAGCAAATGAATATGGATCAACTTGGGAATTCAGGACCATCCAGAAAGAGACCTGCAACAAGTTGTGTCTCAGTCAGGTTGAGCAAAATGTGGCGTCTTCTAACAGGTGAGAATTCACAAATACAAATATCAGTGTCAAAAAGCAATACTCGTGTCTCGGGCAACAGAACGTAACGTAATTAAAAAAAAACACCAACCCGAAAAAGCGACACAGTCACAGGTAAAAAAAGTTGTTTTCACTATATATCTGTTCAACCATAGCATACCTCAAGCAGATGTACAATGAAACAAGTATTAATACTATTCAATACGAATCATACTGGTCAATTCACCGGATGAATCATCTATGGATATCTGTAGGATTGGATAGTTGAAACGACCGCTATGAAACGGTCGTCCTTGTACACTAGATGCATTAAGGAAAGCATACCAGGAGAAGTTCTGTACTTTGAATATATCAGTCGTATAACGGAGCCTTTTGCACCCTGACTAAAAGAACATTCCATGGGAGTTTTTGGCTGAAAGCGTGAAACTTATATAAAAATATTTTGGTCAATCCTAGTTTCAGAAATTTCATGTTGTCACCTTTGCATCCATATCTGACATTGGTCACCATGACAACTAATAGTCAACTACAAATCAAGCACAAAAATTCTACGTCTCAGGGACTACAATTGATAAGAACTTCATTTTATATTTATGTCATTTAGTGTTACCTATTTATCAAGGTCAAGGCCAAAAATTCGCCATTTTTATAACTTTATACGTGATAAAAATTATGTATATTCACACTGTTTTACATGTTATATATGTCATCTCCTTAGAAACAATAGGTCATCACAGTCACACACTGTTTTACATGTTATATATGTCACCTCCTTAGAAACAATAGTCACCATTAACGGTGAATTTCCATGGAGATGATGTCATGTCTTACGTCATAATGTGTCTGAATGTGAACAAACTCTAAGCATAATGCTGGTGTAATATCATCGATGTTTGGCATGTTTCCACTGAAGATGCACCAGCCAAAGATTTGAAGATCATTCACGAGTCCAAAAATTAATAGATATACAGTGGGTAGTTATCTCATGGGTGAGATTATTTATTTATTAGGCCAAGCTTATGATCTATTATAGCTAAGATTAGACACTTGAGACTAGCAACATACGAATTAGTTACCCAATTCAAAATTTGATTTCAGAAATAATAATACCTATTTTACTCCCAAAGCATGTTGAGTAGAAACGGAAAATTGAAAATGGAAGACAGCTCGTACACAAGCACAAAGTTGCCTCGTATCGCAAACGTATACAAATTATGTGTAATTTGCCAGACCTCTACAACAGAAGATTTATAATAGATTCCCATTCTCCTCATCAAAGACAAATGGCATAAAAGTTGGTACCAAATTACAACTCACAAAGAAAACTGTAAAAGTGCAAGAAGGAACTAGGAAGTATCTTTAGCACTAAGATCCTCCATCTCAG